GCCTTTTTTTTTTTGGCATTTTTTTGCTGCACATTTCCTTTGTGCGTTAACGTATATAATATAGTTCCCCGATAAGCAGACATGAATATATAAATTTCCCCTTAAACATGACGTAATTGGTCAAATGTTAACCGGTTCTAATTTGTTTCAGTCAGATTGTTTGTTCTAGAATTTGTGTTTCTACACCTCTAGAGTTTGATGTTGCCATATTGCACTATATACTGTGGATGGATTTGAATTATCGATTTGAAATGTAAAAAAAAAAGCATATGTGCTTTACAAGTTAAATGTTTCTACATTTTACAGTACATAATATCTTTCTACTCAAGAGCCAAAGAGAATAAAAGTGTTCATTATTGTTTTTTTTTTAATTTCTTTAATTTTTTATATACATTGTAGTCCGCGGTTGGAAGAGGAAGATGTAATCAACACTCCAAGCAGAAGGCATCCGTCCAACCACCCACCCAGCCCATATTTCCCGTCGCCAATGTATCAGTTTCCTCCAAGTCCTTACGCAAATCCTGCGGTTTTTTCTCCATTGGCACACCCCACACCTTCAGCGTACCATATGTCACCAGTCTCCACAGGTCACCATTTCCAACCTCCCCAGTCAGGTGTTGGGCCATCGACCAGCTATGCTGAGCCGACTGTTAGTTTAAAAACATTCAGGGAAATGGAGAAGAAACTAAAGTCCCAGTTGGAAAAGATGAATACAGTCATCGAACATCAACAGAGAGAAATTAAAGACCTTAAGAGTTACAGCAGTGCAAGTGTTGCTGCAGTACGTAACACCACCCGAACAGAACTCACATCACTGATGAAGAAAGACTCTATTCTAAGTGTCAATGCGGAGAATGCAATCGACATAGCAAAGATGAACCCACGCGCCATGACAGAACGGATTTAACAGCAAGCACCAGTACTGTTTGAACTTCTGGAAAACTGTATTGGTGGTGATGGTATTGGGGACAAGGAAACTTCGATGGGAGCATTTTTCAGTGTCTGCTCTCTCGCTAACAAGCGAAACCAACGGGCTAATGCCATCCAACATATCACAACGCTGTCCCTAATTTCCAGGTCAACAAATGTACAGGTATGTTTGGTTTGGTTTGTTTGTTTTAGCTGGTGTGCTATGCTGAGGGACACTTATACTGGCTATACAAATATTTATACAGATGTTTAAGTTGATGCTTGAGCTCAAGCATGCTTTAGATTGTCTTTTTTATCATGTGGCATGTCACCGAATGTGTATTTTCTGTTGAATTGACTTTATATTTTCAAAGCAGAATTATGTGATATCAAAAATGTGTTTAAATTTTCTAAGCTAAATTTTCAACAATTATCTATCCATATTGAAAGTTTGTAAATCATTTTGTTACTGTTTCTGTAGGTCATCTCCATGTTGAACGCGATGGGCCTTGCCAGTTCCTACAAGGCAGCATGGAACTTTCTGGCCACATTTGCTGAAAAGCAGAGATCCAACCCCCCTCTGGACAGCACCAAGCCCTGGGTGCTTTTCTTCGATAATGTCAACATCCTTAAGAGAGTGGGGCATGTGAGGATGGGTGAGTCATTACATCACACAAAACAATTGTCTTATGTAGCCTGTTGTAGCCAATAGAAAGTAAATAGTCATTAGAGTGTTACACAAGATGCATTCTCAAGGAGTTATTTTTTTAATTCATTGTGACTTATTACCAACAACATCAACATCATGGTTTTGCAACATTTGTTGCAAATAAGAAGTGGAACAGAACACTGTCATTAATACAAAACAAGGTAGCAATCATATACATGTGTATGTAATGCAACAAAGGAATGTGCTATGACAGTTTGGTTTTAAAACACTATTTTAAATTTTCAGGCAAGCAAAATGAGATGTATAACTGGACGAGTCGTCTGGCAGTGGAAGTGGAGAATGAAGACAAGAATGCCAGCAGAGAACCACAGGTAACATGAGAAATTTAAGTCTGCGTGGATAGCTTTACTTAAAAGCCATATGCTTACTTAAGGAACATAACCACGTTGAGTATAGGACAAAATTTTTTACTTCATCACATGCTATTGCCCATTTTACACGTGCAGTATGTGCCTCTGTCTGTACGGAAATACATTTGTGTACTGTTGCTTTACATAAATCAACTGAATAATAAAAACTGTTCACATTTCATGAAACTTTGCATGCTATTTTCATAGGGTAGAAGGCAGGACCTGTCACCAGCTGACATCCTAGTCAACAGTGACGACATTCAGGACCTGCAAGACAGGTTCACGCAAAAAGTGAAGGCTGTCTTGGTAGAACACTTCCCAAGCCTGGAGAAGTTCAAGGACACCCTCCGAAAGCCTTCAAGTCCCTTCCCTGTTAAGAAGAGCGTGGTCATCCCTCTGCCCCTGGAAGACAAGGATGAGTCCAAGAAAGCGGACACCATTGAAATACTCCTCACATTTGCTAAGGAACTGAACCTCAGGGATTGCATGAAGGACCAGGTATCATGTAGCCACACTAAAGCATTTTTGTTGCCATTTGAATAAGCATTTTTGCCATTTGAATTATGATACCTATAAGAGAATTGTTGTGCCTGGACTTTAACACAGCACATTTACATAGACTATTACAAGGTTAGGTTTTTCATTGCATCTTCAGCTGCTGGAGAGTTATGTAGTATGTTTTTTTTTTTTTTGCTACCATCAGGCTGTGGTAGGAGACCAAGCCTCCTGTAAAAATGTTCGTGGAGCCCGTGGCTGGCGCCTTGGAGAGGAGGATCCCGTGGAGAGGTTGGACTGGGCAAAGGAGAGTCCAGGTACTACATGTATTTCTTGTGCTCCTTTAAAACAATGGTTTCCTTGTGTGGTAAGAAAGGAAATAACAGGTTGACTCCTATTTATTGTGATAGAAACTATCTGTAGCTTGAAATAATTACAACTTAACAGAAACACAGAATGAAGAATTGCCATTAAGACATGCTAAATTCAATTTGTTAAGGTATATAAACTTTTTACATAATAAGTATTTTTTGACATGTTCACCTTTATGGAACAATAAAACATTTGCCTTTTCTATCCTTTATGTGTCTTGTATAGGTGACTTTCACTTCCTTTGGGAGGCTTTGAGGACTGCCACGCTGTCCACATGGGGGCTGCCCACGGAGGTGGGGTCTTTGTCACAAATCAGGGTCACCATCAACAGGACAAGGGTGGACAAAGGTTGTAAGAATTTTGCTCTATCTGACGAGTTCCTTTGCCACGCCGCCACTGGACACCTCGTGGCAGCCCTAGCATCATTCCTTGGATTGGCAACTCCTGACGATCCGTACAACTGTACCAGCAGCGACGAATTCGAGCAGTTGGCCACCACCTTTGTCACTGACGTTGTCTTCCCCGGGCCATGGACTGAAGACAGCGACCAAGTTCGAAACAGAGCCAGGCTATTGCTGTACATGGGGCTACTTTACATGGATCTTAGGACATCAATCAGGTACATTTAACGTGCTGATATCAAATAACTATAAGCATTAAAGTAAGGACGCAAAACCTGTACAAGTAACATGTCCTAGTTTTCTTACATATTGCTGTGCACTGAAAACATATATTCTCTCTCTCTGAAAAAAATAGTAGTATACTACACACACCTCAACTAGCAGTGTTAATTACTTGAATGTAATTTTGTTAGAGTGCATGTATGACACTGTAGCAAATGCCTTTAAGCCAATATTATTTTTCTTTTTGGTGTACACATGATGACAAAGAATAGAACATTGAATCAGTTTGTTTTGAACATGGGTTTTTTCTTCTGTAAATTCAGGTACCAGATGGGGGAGACTGTAATCCAACACTGGAAGCTGTGGTTTGAGCTCTTCCTGGGGAGTAAGCGTAGCCAGTATGCCTGTGAGGCCGCTAACCTGCTGGCGAACCTGAAGGCTGATTGGTCCCCGTACATGGCACACCTGCACACCCACAACAGGTGTGTCAACATCAGCGGCCAGGAGGGAAGAGCCAAGCCTGTGGATATGCTTGGGGAGCACTACAATAGGTGGGTATTGTCTATTGTAGATTACAGCTAAAAACTCATCATTACAGTTTGTATATATGTGTAACTTTTAATTATATTTTTTTGAGCTCTTGATTTGTACTTTAACAGGATCATCAAGACAACGTGTCATTCTTCTGGGGGAAGACTTCAGTTCAAGCATGCACAAGACATAAGCCTAGCAGTGCAAGTCTTCGATGCAGCCAAACAATTCACGGACGGCTTGTGTCGCAGCGGGAGATCCTCCAGCCACACAACAACATCGGCAACAGAAGACATCAAGGCCATCACAAAGATGATCATACAGCATGGAGTTCACACTGAAACAGCTGGTAGGAACTTGAAGTGGTCCGACCCTCGTGCAGTCGCAAGGGAACGTATCAACGATGACAAGTGGCTGGTCAACTACCTAAATCGCGGGGCAGAGCCAGAGGATGATGAGCCACATACACCAGGTGATCAAGACGACCCGGATGCTGAAGAAGATATACAAGCAGCTGCATGGGAACCTGGCCTTATGGAGCTTGAGCTGTCATGAGGTTTGTAATGTTTACTTCTCTGTAGCAAAAAAAAAACTTACATCATATTTGTCCTATCTTGTAGAGGCCTCCTTGGTCTCCGTCTTCTCTGTGGTCCCTGTGGTCTCTGTGGCTGTGTTTTTTCAGGAAACTCCTCTCCAATCTTGTCAAGAATGAAAGGTGCTATGTTCTCCGACACACCTTTAATCTTTTTACACAGCTCTTCCACTGTGTGGATACTTTGTGCCTTGCTTTTGATTGCCTCAATTGCCTTGTTGGAGAGCACGCCTGCTGGACCTACATGTGCAATGCTAGTGTCATCTTTATATAGTTCATTTCTAAGGTCATACAGACTTTTCAGTAGTTTTTTCTCATCGCCCTCTTCTCTTTTTCTCTTCCTGCTAGCTGCTGGGTTTGTAGCAACCTGTGCCGCACTGGGATGTAGCAGGTACGCTCCTCTGGGTGCTGTGGTCTCCTCCTGGCAGAAAGAGCAGCAGTGGTCTGTGTGTGCTGCCTGGTTGTCAAATGCCTGGAGCATCACGTCGCGGAGGCAGGATTCCTTGGCGACGAACTGCTGCAGGGAGTCTTCTGCATTGCCCTCATCCCTGCAATTGCCAGCAAACACCACAGCAGTGGCCTGCTGTCCTGATCTTCCAGCCCGGCCAATCTCCTACAGGAGTAAAAGTACAGTACTATTAGATCAGGTATTACCGAGGTGTCATTAGTTTTGTATATGTTATGATAATAAAATGGAGTGACTTTGATTGAGATGTTAGCACACTATTTGTGATACAGGTTAGCATGACCAGATCATAAACTTTTAAATAAAAGATGAAGTAAACAGGTCACTTCCATGGAAAATGTGAAGACTACACGGCGGTCTGTCACTACGGCATTCTTTCCCATTGCTATGCGCGTTCGAAAAGGTATCGGGTTACAAGACGCTATTTTGGCCTGTTTTGGACTACCCGTAAAATATTTGAAAATACACAAATAATATTTAGGCGTAAATTTCGTCAAATTAAAATAAAATTATCGTCTTAACATCCTTTAAATGTTAGCTTTTTATGTTAAATCAATGATTTTTTAAAATTTCGCTCAGAAAGACGATTATTTTCGGGTTTCCGAGCACAAGTCATATCACGTTTTTAGGCAAACATCGTTCAAACCTGGCTACGTATATTACCCCAGATCCCCGATTTTTATATTTTTCGCAGACTAGGAATAAGACAAAAAATCGTGTTTTAGGGATTTTTTAATTTCTGATTTTAGGTCTAGTTTTTGTCGACATATTGGTGAAAAATTGGCATTTTTAAACATTTTTCTCACCAAATTACCCACAATTCAAAATTGAGGCCATTTTTCAAAAATCCTTTAAACACGATTTTCGGGACAACCGTAACGGTCATTTTGAGCCGTGAATGGGATATGTTTGACTCTCCATGCTTCCAGGTTTGAACGAGTTTTGGAGACATGTCATATCGCCAGAAATTGTGCACTGTGTTATTCATCCTGGCGTAAAGAATCATTACAGTATTCAAGGTCACTCAAGGATACGACAGTAGCTTCCCTACATGTTACATGTCCACCAAAAATAATAGCGGACATGTACTGTCCAGGAAACTGTTTGTATCTATAGAAAAGTGTTGTTTTTTATCTGTTGCAATGCACGGAGGTAGAAAGGCTTGTTTTGCCGCTTTATAGTAAATGGCCGCAAGTGACCCCGAAATAGAACGCGGGTTCGATTCGAATTGCCCAGATCGAACACGATCGAACACAGTTCGGGTTCTATGGCATGTGGGAACTTTGCAGCCCAGATTTTACCACCGTGCTAAGATTCACTCAGTTGAATCTACCATATGCATGCATTTTGTATTATTTCTTCTATATGGTTGCTCCCCCATGAATAATGTATGTGATTCTCACCTGATACAGCTGACTCATGGACTTTGGCAGGCCATACACAGTCACACAAGAGATGTCAGGGATGTCAATGCCCTGGAATGGTCATTGTAGATAGATATTAATAGGAAACAGAGGTGTTTTAAGAAATATCCATTTTTGTACAATGGAACATGCAGAAAATTATGACAAAGGAATTGTTAGTCATTGTGCAGCTATACAGCTGTATGTTAGTTAATACTATACCAATGTGAATCCTTTCATTTTGTAATCTTCAAAATCATTACACTTACCATCCCAAAGGCAACTGTAGCCACCACCACCCTGACCTCTCCACTCTTGAATCGTCGGAGGACTTTGGCCTTAAGGTCAAGGCTCATGGCGCTGTGGAAGTATACCACTGTATCTTTGTACCCGTCTGCTGTATGTGCCCGAAGCAGCGTCCACACATCCATAGCCTGGTTTCTCGTGGGTACATAAACGAGTTGTTTCTCAACTTCTCGTCCTTTCCTCTTCATGGCCTGCAGAAGTCCCAGGAAGTCCTTCTGAAATTAAAAGTTATTACACACTTGTTAGACAAAATGTGCATTGTGTGAGTGCGAGAACAAAACAGTATGCAGAGGTTCGTCATGATTTTCACATATTTATTGAAATTGCGACACATATCTAAAAATGTGATATGAGAAAAAGATATGTAAATTGGAAATTGAATATGTCTCAGGTACCTGTAGCGTGGCCTTTTTCTTGGAAACCAAGAAAATGTTTGGCCTGTCTAGATTCCCACTGATGTGAATGGAACCGTCTTTGAAGTGGAGCTTGTCCTTCACAGTTTGCACAGTCTCAGGGGAGGCAGAAGCTGTGAGGGCCATGACCGGTGTGTTGGGAACAAGGGCCCTCAACTCCCCTATGTGTTCAAAGGCAACTCTGAAGTCTTTGCCCCTGAAATAGAATACAGGTTTAGAAATGTGTCTGAACTTAAAGTACTAAATGAGTTGCAAGCTGATGAGTTTTAACAAAATGTACCTCCCTTAATGAGTGTGAAAATGTTAACTTATAATTTACTTGTGTACCAGTTAAGTAACTAGCCTAATGCAGCAGTTACACCCCCATTGTTGCTTGAAAGATAAGATTAAAAAAATTCTTACCATTCAGGGATACAATGGGCTTCATCGACGACAAGGGCACACACGGGTCTGTCTGTGTTGAAAATGCCCCTACCCTCTCCCACAGCTACTTCTGGGCTGGTGTAAACTGTTTAAAAGTAATAATAAAAATGATCAAACTTTTGATGCAAATATACACCTATGTTTGTTTACTATGTAACACAACTGTACAGCTGAAGTTTGATTGAAATGAAAATGTTTGCAGTTTTGTGAACGAAAGGATGGGTATATTTATATATACATGTACATTTTGTAGATTGTTGACAATTATTTGCAGTAACTGACTGCCAGACTGGTAATGATAATTCAATGACAAAACTGTTCTGATATATTTTGATTCTTGTTTACCGATCTACACTGATGTAAAAAGGACAACTTCAATAAAACAAGTTCAAATGTGGGAAATACCTAGTTTGACCGATCTGTCTTGCACTGCCTTGATCCCGTTCGCCGACTTCAAGTGTATTGCCTTGTACCCTGTTGTAGTGAAGTACCGGGCGACCTGGAAATAAACGGTAAGTGTCTTAAATATTTTATCTTCAGCGCTTCTATACGCAATATCGGTGTAAATCAGTACCAGTCGTGGTGGGCTGTTATTTCAAAGTAGACCGAAAATTATTTCCTTTCGACAGCTCGTGAGGGGAGGGGCGTAAGTCCGCCGCCGGTATAAATTTTATACATTATATACGTGAGCCATGTGGACAAAACTTGTAATGTTATAAATAACGTTTGATATAGAATACATAATTTACCTGGTCGTCGATCAGTGCAGTCAGGGGACTGATAACGATGAGAAACGGCTCTACCGAGTCCAGGCACGACGGAACTGCCTGATAGCAAAACGTCTTGCCAGCTCCGGTCGGGAGCCCGACAAACACGTCCCGTCCATTTAAAATCCCCAAGACAGCATCTGCCTGCCCCTGTCGCAGCGCGCCGTACTCGAAAACATCTCTGCCAACACGTAAAACGCGGTCCATCGTACACTGGCACTAGTATATACTGTCATCAAAATAAACACTGACCAGACCGCAGAATTGTAGTAGCAGAGAATGACCGTTATTTGAAATTTCCTGGTGACCTTTGACACTTCCTGTCACATGTTACACGGTCGCCGTCGCTCCTGACAGTTCCGTCACGGTCCGGTCGCAGAGCAATAAAAGGGTAATTTAGCTACTTGGCACCTATTAGATAGCGATTAGTGGACTTCAAAGAACATAGCGATATTCCACAGGCTTGTGGGCCGGCAAACTGTAAACTGGATGGCTAAACTCCCTCGGCGTGTTATCTCTCTATTTCGGGCCGATTTCTACTATAATTCCAGCCGTGCCCTCAAGCCTGGTAGAGGCTATAAAGGTTTTACTACAAACCAAACGCTAGTTTCCTGAGTATTATGTTAGTCAAAAGATATTATTGTGTTTGTAAGACATACAGGTAAACACTTAGACAAAGTGAAGAATTAACAGGAAATAGAAGCTCTTTCAATGGCTTCATTCTTACAAACTCAACATTAACTTCTACCTTTCAACTACTGTTTACAATCACTTACAGATGTTAAATACTGTATATTTACATTATCCAATCAATACCAACAAATTTAGGTGTTCTACCACAAATTAAGTTTACTGTTCAAAAATTACAAATCTGGTTATCAAATGATGGATTCTTTTCCAAAATATATAATTGATAGTTAAAGAAAGTATATTTGTCTGGCTAAGAATTATTCTTGAAACTAAACCACAGTTTTACAGTGATTAGAAATGCAGTGGACAAAAGTGCCAAAGACATTTCGTCAGGAAAAACTTGCATATTTGCAGATATTAGTAGAATATCTTATAATAAATCATGTAGTTAGCCTAAATGTTTTCAAAATTATTGTGCTGTATCCGTACGCTACATATAGTCTGAAGATAGAAAAAATATACTTAAGAGAAGATTATGCACATTAAATGTCACTACGAGATGGTCACAGTTGCAGAGTTGGTGCCTCCGTGTGAATTATTTTATGTCGAGTTAGGGCAGTCTTAGAAGCTGAAGAATAGCTACACTGGTCACACTTGTATGTTTTTTCTTCTGTATGAGTTCTCATATGTTTGGATAAGTGGGACCTCACAGCTGTCCTGTATCCACACTCCCCACACATGTAGGGTTTCTCACCGGTGTGTTTTGCTAGATGTGTGTCTAAATTAGATTTTAGTG